TTAGATATTATAATGATCTAAGATAATAACAAAAAACTGCAGATAAATCCAAATCTGATGAACATTTTTGCCACCTGTCAGATTTGCTCTAAATGCTTTAGTTTCAGAGATATAAACCAAAAACTGCATTTTACCCCTATGTTCTATTTTTAACTAAGTTGGCCATGATGGTTGGAAGGCCGGGTCATCAGACAAATTTTTTAAACTAGATACCCTAATAATGATTATGGCCAAGTATGGTTAAATTTGTATCTGTAGTTTCAGAGAAGAAGATTTTTGTAAAAGATTACAAAAATTTACGAAAAATTGTTAAAAATTGACTATTAAGGGCAATAACTCCTAAAGGGGTCGACTGACAATTTTGGTCAAGTTGACTTATTTGTAGATCTTACTTTGCTGAACATTATTGCTGTTTACAGTTTATCTCTATCTATAATAATATTCAAGATAATAACCAATAAAATGCTCCGCAGGGCGCAGCTTGATACGACCGCAGAGGTCGAACCCTGAACAGTTGGGGCAAGTATGGACATAACATTCAAGCTTGATACAGCTCTGAATTTGGATTGTGATTAAATATTTGACACAGCATAGGTTTCTGACACAGAATGAATGTGGTCTAAGAACTTAAAAATTTTAAATTGGACATTCACCTATTATGGTCCAATATCCAAAATCTAAATACATGGTTAGATTCAGCATATCAAAGAACCCCATATATTCAATTTTTGATGAAATCAAACAAAGTTTAATTTTGGACCCCGATTTGGACCAACTTGAAAACTGGGCCCATAATCAAAAATCTAAATACATGTTTAGATTCAGCATATCAAAGAACCCTAAAAATTCAATTTTTGTTAAAATCAAACTAAGTTTAATTTTGGACCCTTTGGATCTTAATGTAGACCAATTTGAAAACGGAACCAAAAATTAAGAATCTAAATACACGGTTAGATTCGGCATATCAAAGAACCCCAATAATTCAATTTTTGATGAAATCAAACAAAGTTAAATTTTGGACCCTTTTGACCTCAATGTGGACAAAGTTGATAGGAGGGCCCAAAAATCAAAAATCTAAATACATGGTTAGATTCAGCATATCAAAGAACCCCATATATTCAATTTTTGTTGAAATCAAACAAAGTTTAATTTTGGACCCCGATTTGGACCAACTTGAAAACTGGGCCCATAATCAAAAATCTAAATAAATGTTTAGATTCAGCATATCAAAGAACCCTAAAAATTCAATTTTTGTTAAAATCAAACTAAGTTTAATTTTGGACCCTTTGGACCTTAATGTAGACCAATTTGAAAACGGAACCAAAAATTAAGAATCAAAATACACGGTTAGATTCAGCATATCAAAGAACCCCAATAATTCAATTTTTGATGAAATCAAACAAAGTTAAATTTTGGACCCTTTTGACCTCAATGTGGACAAAGTTGATAACAGGGCCCAAAAATCAAAAATCTAAATACATGGTTAGATTCAGCATATCAAAGAACCCCATATATTCAATTTTTGTTGAAATCAAACAAAGTTTAATTTTGGACCCCGATTTGGACCAACTTGAAAACTGGGCCCATAATCAAAAATCTAAATACATGTTTAGATTCAGCATATCAAAGAACCCTAAAAATTCAATTTTTGTTAAAATCAAACTAAGTTTAATTTTGGACCCTTTGGACCTTAATGTAGACCAATTTGAAAACGGAACCAAAAATTAAGAATCTAAATACACGGTTAGATTCGGCATATCAAAGAACCCCAATAATTCAATTTTTGATGAAATCAAACAAAGTTAAATTTTGGACCCTTTTGACCTCAATGTGGACAAAGTTGATAACAGGGCCCAAAAATCAAAAATCTAAATACATGGTTAGATTCAGCATATCAAAGAACCCCATATATTCAATTTTTGTTGAAATCAAACAAAGTTTAATTTTGGACCCCGATTTGGACCAACTTGAAAACTGGGCCCATAATCAAAAATCTAAATACATGTTTAGATTCAGCATATCAAAGAACCCTAAAAATTCAATTTTTGTTAAAATCAAACTAAGTTTAATTTTGGACCCTTTGGACCTTAATGTAGACCAATTTGAAAACGGAACCAAAAATTAAGAATCAAAATACACGGTTAGATTCAGCATATCAAAGAACCCCAATAATTCAATTTTTGGTGAAATCAAACAAAGTTAAATTTTGGACCCTTTTGACCTCAATGTGGACAAAGTTGATAACAGGGCCCAAAAATCAAAAATCTAAATACATGGTTAGATTCAGCATATCAAAGAACCCCATATATTCAATTTTTGTTGAAATCAAACAAAGTTTAATTTTGGACCCCGATTTGGACCAACTTGAAAACTGGGCCCATAATCAAAAATCTAAATACATGTTTAGATTCAGCATATCAAAGAACCCTAAAAATTCAATTTTTGTTAAAATCAAACTAAGTTTAATTTTGGACCCTTTGGACCTTAATGTAGACCAATTTGAAAATGGAACCAAAAATTAAGAATCTAAATACACGGTTAGATTCAGCATATCAAAGAACCCCAATAATTCAATTTTTGATGAAATCAAACAAAGTTAAAATTTTGGACCCTTTGGACCTCAATGTGGACCAATTTAAAAACGGGGCCCAAAATCCAAAAACTTAATACACGGTTAGATTCAGCATATTAAAGAACCCCAAGAATTCAAGAATAAAACCCCATTGAAATTGATCAAGAAATAAGCAATTTATACGAAGTATCTTCTTTTGCACAATACTGTGCAATTGAATATTTCTTGCAATTGTGCAATACTGTACAATTGACAATTTCTTGCTATTGCGCAATATTGTGCTATTGGATATTTCTTGCTATTGCGCAATACTGTGCAATTGAAGATTTCTTGCTATTGCGCAATACTGTGCAATTGAAGATTTCTTGCTATTGTGCAATACTGTGCAATTGAAAATTTCTTGCTATTGCACAATACTTATTAGATAATAATTTACACATCCTGTTTGGTGTGTATCTCCTACCATATCATTATTATTTGCTTTTAAATATTAATCAGAAATAACCAACTTAAAATGGAAAATTTTAAAAGAAAAAAAAAAAGGAAAAAAAGAAAAAAAAAAAAATCCCCCCCCAAATTTTTTGAACCCCCTTATGATTCAGCACCCCCAAACTCAATCCCAGCCTTCCCTTTGTGGTATGGTACCTTGCAGTACAATTTCAGAGAGATCCATACACTTGAACACAAGTTATTGTCTGGAAACTAGAAAAATGCTTATTTTTGGCCCCTTTTTGGCCCCCAATTCCTAAACGTTTCGGGCAATTACCCCCAAACTCAATTCCAGCTTTCCCTTTGTGATATGGAACCTTGTAGTACAATTTCAGAAATATCCAAACACTTACACACAAGTTATTGTCATGAAACTAGAAAAATGCTTGTTTTTTGCCCCTTTTTTGGCCCCTAATTCCTAAAATTTTGAGGCAATTACCCTCAAAATCAATTACAGCCTTTCCTTTGTGATATGGAACCTTGTGGTACAATGTCAGAGAGATCCATACACTTACACACAAGTTATTGTCTGGAAGTTACAAAAATGCTTATTTTTGGCCCCTTTTTGGCCCCTAATTCCTTAACTGTTGGCACCATAACCCCCAAAATCAATCCCAACCTTCCTTTTGTGGTATTGAACCTTATGGTAAAATTTCATGGAGATCCATTCACTTAAACTAAAGTTAGAGTGCGAAAACCAATGTGTCTTCGGACGACGCGGGACGACGCCAGACGACGACGACGACGACGCCGGACGACGACGACGCCAACGTCATACCAATATACGACCAAAAAATTTTTAATTTTTGCGGTCGTATAAAAACTGCAAAATTTCCTTAAAATTACCAATTCAGGGGCAGCAACCCAACAACAGGTTGTCAGATTTGTCTGAAAATTTCAGGGCAGATAGATCTTGACCTGATAATCAGTTTTACCCTATGTCAGATTTACTCTAAATGCTTTGGTTTCAGAGATATAAGCCAAAATCTACATTTTACCCCTGTGTTCTATTTTTAGCCATGGCAGCCATCTTGGTTGGTATGCGGGGTCATCGGACACATTTTTAAACTAGATACCTTAATGATGATTGTGGCCAAGTTTGGTTAAATTTGGCCAAGTGGTTTCAGAGGAAAAGATTTTTGTAAAAAGCTAACGACGACGGACGACGGACGCCAAGTGATGAGAAAAGCTCACTTGACCCTTCGGGTCAGGTGAGCTAAAAATGCTTATTTTTGGCCCCTTATTCCTAAACATTTCCGGCAATTACCCCCAAACTCAATTCCAGCTTTCCCTTTGTGATATGAAACCTTGTAGTACAATTTCAGAAAGATCCATACACTTTCACACAAGTTATTGTCATGAAACTAGAAAAATGCTTGTTTTTGCCCCTTTTTGGCCCCTAATTCCTAATATTTTGAAACAATTACCCCCAAAATCAATCCCAGCATTCCCTTTGTGATATGGAACCTTGTGGTACAATGTCAGAGAGATCCATACACCAACACACAAGTTATGTCTGGAAGTTACAAAAATGCTTATTTTTTGCCCCTTTTTGGCCCCTAATCCCTTAACTGTTGGTACCATAACCCCCAAAATCAATCCCAACCTCCCTTATGTGGTATTGAACTTTATAGTAAAATTTCATAGAGATCCATTCACTTAAACTAAAGTTAGAGTGCGAAAACCAATGTGTCTTCGGACGACGACGAAGACGACGACAACGAAAAAAATTTTTGCGGTCGTATAAAAACATAATGTAAACCAAAGAACCATGAAAATGAGGTAATGGTCAGATGAATCCTGCCAGACAAACATATATACCTTACAATCATTCTTTAATGATTCATATTTTTCTCGTTGTTGTTTCAATAATGTTAACAAAGTATCTTCTATAATCGTAATCTTCCTGGTTTTAGTGTGTAAAAAAAAGTTATTTTACCTTTAACTTCTGTACTTTCCCTTTAAGAGATGACTGCATACCAACATGTTGAAACAATGAAGGTTTAAATCGAACTCTTACTTCCTGTTTCATCCGATTACAGTGTTTCTAAAAAAATAAGAAAATAAGACGTGATCAGGGTTAGCATTAAGTGTTTATGACTTTGCTGATTTGTGTAAGTAGCATTGGTAAATGTTTGTGGTCCTAAGCATGTAGAAAAAAATGAAGAATGTGTCCATGGGACACAGATGATTCCCCCTGCTTGCATATAATGTTATAAAGGGCATAACTCTAGAACTATAAAAGTGATGCCACTCAAATTCGAACTTGATCTGTGTTTAGTGGTAATAAGCATTGAGTATAAGTTTCATAACATTTGGTTAAGGCAAACTAATGGAAACCAATTTTGTGATGTACATGTACATACAGACATACTGACAGACAAGGGTAACACTTATTGCCCCCTCTGATGCGGAGGGGGCATAAACATTATAAAACTGAACTTTTCATAAATCTATTCAGCATCTATATTGCCAATAAGTTCATATTACTGCCTCAGTTGTCTACTTTTTATTAAATTTTATGAAGAGCTATGAAAATTAATACTTTTGGAAATAAAAATTGCTTCAGTGAAAACTTGATTCAGGTGAATTTACCTTAGATTTATGTTAGGTTTACTAGAATTTCTCTGAACAGTTTTGTTTTCAACAAAATACATGTACTGTTTTGTTAACTAATGACTTTCATTCAAACTGACCAGTCGCAAAATATTCAGATTAGGTTCTGGCAATTCTACAGTAGACTAAGTAATATACTTTTGCTTATATAAATAAACTCTTGAAACAGAGATATGTCTGGCCTGTATGTAATTATAAGATTCTTACATACAATGAAGTCGAAAGCAAATTTTGAAATTAAAATGACAATACTTTAACAAGTAAACTTTGCAAAACATTTAAAGTCAATATACCAAAACTGAAGGTGCAGGGCCAAATAATCCTTTTGTAATTGGGAGCTGCCATTGCTTATACAACTTTATACCAAATACCATTGGCCATTGACATATCATACCTTAAACTTAATAATTCTTAAACAAAAACATAAAATTTAGCATGTAAACTACGGTAAGCAAAGGTTTCAAAGTCAATAGACTATGACCATGACTGAGGGGTTGGGACCAAATTATCTCCATTGAAATGAGATGTGCAAATGCTATAACATCTGCATACCAAATATCATTGAATAACCATAAGTGTTTCCCCTTATACCTAATCTCAAACTTTAACATGTAAACTAAGCAAAAGTTTCAAGGTCAATGGACCATAACTGAGGGGCGGGGCCTAATAATCCATGAAAATGAGATGTCACAGTGCTAATACAACTGCATACCAAATACCATTGACCTAACACTAGTGATTCCCTTTAAACTGACCTTATTAACAAGAGGCTGTCAGAGTGACAGCAAACCGGATTTTCCTGCAGAGGTCAAACCCTGAACAGTTGAGCAAGTATGGACACTTCATTTAAGCTTAATTAAAACTGCTCTGAATTTGGATTGTGGTTGAATTTTTGACACAGCATAGGTTTGTGACACAAAATGAATGTGGTCAAAGAACTGAAATATTTGAAATTGGACATTTATTTAATTACCTACTATGGTCCAATATCCAAAATCTAAGTACATTGTCACAATCAGCATATCAAAGAACTCCAAAAATTCATTTTTCAATGAAATCAAACAAAAGTTTAATTTAGGACCCTTTGGACCACAATGTAGACCAATTTGATAAAGGAGCTCACAATCCAAAATCTCTCAATACATGGTAAGATTCAGCATTTCAAGGAACCACATAAATTCAATTTTTGTGAATCAAACAAAGTTTAATTTTGGACCTTGATTTGGACCAACTTGAAAACTGGGCCCAAAAATCTAATATTCAAATACAGGTTTAGATTCAGCATTTGAAAGAACCCTATATATATTTAATTTAAGTTGAAATGAAACACAATTTAATTTTATCCATATATTTTCTGGGAAATAACTCAAACTTGATAAATAGATATGATTATAATGAATAAAGTGATGACTAAGTTCTATAAAATTAGATATGATGTAATTTTTCAAATTATAATCAATACATGTAGTATAATAACAACAACCAGTGATGACTAAGTTCTCTTAAATTAGATATGATTTAACACTCAAACATTGTTAAAATCAGCATATCAAAGAACCCAAGAATTCAATTGTTGATTAAACAAAAGTTTAATTTAGGACCCTTAGTACCTCCATGTGGTATTATCTAACTAATAATGAAAATAAATACAGGTTTAGATTTAGCATTTCAAAGAACCTTATATATATTCAATTTATGTTGAAATCAAACACAGTTTAATTTTGGACCCTAATTTGGACCAACTTGAAAACTGGGCCCAAAATCAGAAATCTAAATATATGTTTATTAATAGACAATCTAAGCTAAGTTTTAAAAGGAGTTCACCTAATCCAGAAAATATATAAAGCATTCAGAAAATTAGTTTTTACAGAATAACAAACAATTAACAATTTACCAAAGTAAAGAAAAAAAATCAAAAATTTTATGTATCATTAATACAGTCTTTTAAAAATCTATAAAACTTATCTGTAATTACAGTGGCGTAGCTAGACTTATAATGATCTGCACGCAGAAGTTGTTGAGCGTAGCGAGGCGAAAAAAATTTTGGACCCTTTTTTACAGAAAATGAATCTTTTTTCGATCTAAGATGGTTAATTTTGAAGTGAAGTATGCACAGTTGAGTGTTTTGCTATACTAGTATATCAAATCAAAGACCTAAAACTGACCTAAAAAATTCTAAAAACTTTGCAATGCTCGCCAATTTATTATGCTTCAAAGAAAGAAAGGGCGAGAGAACTGGATCCTCTCATGACATATATGTTAACATACGAAAACAAAGCAATTCAAACAATCAATTTTTAATTTGGTGATATATGAATGTGACGTTCGTATGTAAGACCGTATGTAAGACTGAAGTTAACAACCAAGGTCCTTTAGGAGAGTAACATTTTCATTTGCCTAGCATTGTTAAACGTGTCAATAACTTCTTTAGTGTCAATGTCAAAATCAGAATGAACGTGCAGCAGTGCAAGTGAAGAAAGTCTTTCTTGTCCCATGGTCGATCTCAGATACGTTTTTACGCGTTTCAGAGCGCTGAAAGAGCGTTCAGCAGTAGAGGTTGAGGGTGGCATGGTGAGAAGTATTTGCAGAATACAGAATATATTTGGGCAATGTTCTTTCGGCGTCATCTTCAATGTTGCATAGAGATGGTCTGGTTTCTTATATGGATAAATATCCCATCGCGCAACCCACCTTTTAATTTTGAGAAGAAACTGATCTTCTGATTGAAGATCGGACTCGTAGGCGCGAAATATGCGAATTTGATGGTCCCTATTCAAACTTTTCAGATTGTTTGGAAGAAGCATATGGGCAAGAAAACGTTCTTCCGAATTGACAAGACGATCTCGTAGTTCGTTTTAAATTAGTAGATGGTCTAAAAATTGTATATACCAATGTACGCACAACAAAACTGAACTGATAGAAAACACGGAAACCTTTCTGACAAGTTGAAACACCTATATATACAAAGTGACAGTCAATCGCACTCTTTCTTTTTTTGACTGCTATGATTTTTTAATTATGATTTTTTTTGGGGCCATTTCGTTTGTGCACGCAAGTGCATCGTTGCGTCAATGGTAGCTACGTCACTGAATTATCTTCAAAATGTCTACTAATGAACAGTAAATTTCTAACTATATTTACTACTATATAGCTTTTAATCATCAACACTTAAAAAACAGAAATTTTTCAAATAAATCTGTCACTCAAGATAAGACATTAACCATAAACTGATTACAGGAATTATAAACAGGTGAAAATTATCTATAAAGGCTTAGTGTAATCAAACTTAATGCATATAATTAACAATTTCTGTTCAAAGGAAAATATCACAATATTTCATTTGATTTGTTTTATTGTCCCATACAAGAATATATATGGTTTAGGAGTAGGGATCTCGACCGTTTACAAGATAAAAGCACATTATCAAATTGAAGGGGGTAGGGGTAAGAATATATATGATTAACGGACACTTAATTATCTACAAAATGTCTAATAAAGAAACAGTAAATTCCAAACTTCATTTATACAGTAATACTAGTAAGTTTCAAACTGTATATATACAGTCCTACAGATCTTATCAGAAAACAGAAAATTTTCAAATAAATCTGTCACTCCAATGATTATCATATGCTAAAATATTTCAAAGATCTAATTAATAATGAAAATAAATCATTATCATATGCTGAAATATTTATAATATCTAATTGAACAGAACTATGGTTGTTTAACATAGTACTCTAACATAATTAATAATGTAACAAGGGTAAAACTCAATGCCCACTAAACTACAGCGCAGGCATAAAAGTGTGGCAAACTGATTTGCCAAACTGATGAAGGACAAACAGACAGAGAGACAGACAGACAGACAGACACACAGCCTACCAAAAAACTTTCAAACAATTTACCAATGATATTTCCCCAATAACTCAAATTTATTTCCATGAACCAGTAACAAAACACCAAAATAATTCTCTAAAATTAGATATGACTTAACCACTCATAAATCTCTAAAATCAGACATGATTTTATATCTATCAATTAAACACATCACTTTTCAAAACAAATAACTCAAACTTATTTACATAAACCAATAAAATGCTCCGCAGGGCGCAGCTTGATACGACCGCAGAGGTCGAACCCTGAACAGTTGGGGCAAGTATGGACACAACATTCAAGCTTGATACAGCTCTGAATTTGGATTGTGATTAAATATTTGACACAGCATAGGTTTCTGACACAGAATGAATGTGGTCTAAGAACTTAAAAATTTTAAATTGGACATTCACCTATTATGGTCCAATATCCAAAATCTAAATACATGGTTAGATTCAGCATATCAAAGAACCCCAAGAATTCAATTTTTGATGAAATCAAACAAAGTTTAATTTTGGACCCTTTTGACCTCAATGTGGAAAAAGTTGATAACGGGGC